TTTTTTTTTTGTCAATCATTGGATATGCTTCAGTGGTCAGTACTACTTCTTCTGTAGAATGTTCATTCCTAATACTAGCGAAGCATTTCTTGTTTAACAATTTAGCAGCTGCTAAGTGTTTAGTGGAAGAATGTGCATTATATCAATACATAGTATAAAGTCACATATTTACATATTTCCTTAGCTTCTGCAATCAGTGTCTTTCAAATATTCTCCCAGTACTTTGAGTTTCTTAATTCTAAAATAGCAGTTTTGAAATTTGTTATATATTCGTTAACTTTAAACACACTAATTTCTCTGGATTGCATTTAGTTGTATATTATTTTAACATGAGGCATCTGATAAAAAAGCTCTAAAAAAACTGGAAATTATCACCATTTAGATATTTTAAAATTCCTGTTGCTTTTGCAATAGGAACATTTGTTGTTGTTGTTTTGCATTTGATGTTGATTGAATTTCAGTAAGGCAATATTTTAAAGGTGCCAAATTTTCATGAACTCTGTTTATGTTCCGTATGATGAAGTTCCACCTTGTGGAGGAATACCACATGCGTGGAGTAAAAAGAAATCACGTTTCCAATAACATGCCAGAATTTCGGCACTGCAAGAGCCGACAGTGCTATTCTCTCTGCCCGGCTTGCGTGCTGCTTTCTGTGTGCGCATGCGCACAACAGCCAAACACCATGTTGCTGGAACTGTGAAGCGCGCAGTTCCAAAGACTTTTGTACAAAGTGGGGGATGGCTACTGACATTAAGCTTAAATATTATCTATTGTAAAAGTATAAAGAAAGAATTAAAGACTAAAGGGCACACTATATTAAATATTAAAAATAATAATAACTGGAAATAGGGGGTGCTGCAGTTCCACAGTGCTTATTACGAGCCGCCACTGTGTATTGATAAACATGCGGTGTTAAAAGCAAAATATAATAAATAATGACTCGCCAAGTCGGCGTCAGGGATATAGAATAGGTGAATGTTTCGGTTTGAGATGTGATGTCATGTAGACACTTAGCTGCCGAACCAAATTATTCATCTCACAAATTTATGCTTACATTATTGTTTTTCCACAACGATGTATTGTATTTAGTGCCTAATTGAAATTAAGAATCGGAATTTTTAACTAAAAATCTCCACACGTTTATTGTGGAAGCGAAAATCAAATGCGCATGCGTAAAGCATACCAATAAAAAAATAAATAAATAAAACGTTTGTGGCTTTGAGGTCTGGATTTTAGATTATTTCGGATAATGGACGTCCGGATTTTGGACTTTGTACTGTAATAAATGTTGTGAAAGTCTGAACCAAGCTGTCAATATCATCCATCGTATGTATTGTGGGTATGGTGTACTGAATGCTGCTGAGAGCTTTGGCATACTTTCGCTAGTCAGTAGTAAAGGCTCTGGTGTCTGGTGAGGTATAGCTGCGAATGTCCAGAATCATTCTGACCGGTTTACTGTATCTTATCTCGTTCATTTTCATTTAGTAGCTGAGGTTCAGTAAAACCATCGAAACTAGTCTTGTGGAAATTTGAAAATACAACGTTGATTTTTGTTATTTGACTAAATTAAATTTCTAATTAACTTGCGATGATTTGCATGTGCTTTTTTTTTAACCATGATATTTTCCGCAACGATATTTTAAAACTTTTATGTTTTTAACCGCCTTTTTTTTTGGCCAATGATGTTTTATCCCACGCTATCTTAGGACTGCAATGTTTCTTCTTACTTTCTTTTTTCTCACGCTGTTTTATACAAGAATGTTTTTACCTCTTGGACGTTTTCGCCCGCTATGTTTTTGTGACGATGTTTTCGCTTGCAACTATTCGAAACGATGGTTCAGATTAATTTAATCCTTCCCAGTGACCAAGTGTCCAGGATCTGAATTGAGAAACCTAGATGAGCTGCATAGCTCTCTGTGGTGCCATGAACATTTGACTAAATCTAATTAACTTGATACCCAGTTAGGTGCCGGTTTCTAAAGTCCATTTAATAAGAGGAATGTTCCATAATCTTCCCAACTTTTTTCACTCCTCGGTATTAATTTCCGATATTTCTTGCTTAATTCAGTTTTTTACTTGAGGCAAAATTGTACCCTTAGCGAATAAAATGATTTTTGCCAACGGATGTTTGTCCAATTCACCCAAAGCTGTTTGACTTAATCGGTATATAAGTTAGACAGTTTTGGGTGAATTGGCAAGACAACTATATGGCTGGCTGCCATATAGTTGGGTCTGGTGAAAATGTTAGCGATGGCATGATTATTTGAAACCGTATAAAGCTTGTGAAGCATAGAAACACTTAAAATACTAGCGAGCCGAGTTCTTTCGAGTGGTTTGGTAATAAAAATAAAGAAGCGGGATATTTTCAGATCCTTCCTTCGGAGTATTCTTCATTAAAATTAGGGCGAAAATGTATATTTAGTGCCGTGGCACTATAGCTGTAAGACCAATGGCAAAATTGTGTCTCGCCCACATCTTCCTGTCCTGTCGCCAGTTCTAATTTTTGAAGCAATTTTTGTAGTCACGATACTCTTTTAAAAATGGTTCTACGTGAAAATCTTCGCTTCAGCATCCGAAATGTATGATCCATTGTATGACCTCTGACTATCAGATCGCACTAAAAATCTCTTAAAAAGAACTGCCATTCTCAAGGCAGAAAGAGAGCTGTATAGAGTACCACAAAAGTTTCTCATTTATATGCACTAATAGACGGACCCAGTGGTAAGCATTAATAAATATCATTACTAAATATTCTGAAATGGTTCACTTATACCAGTTATTTTTAACATTTTAGGGAAAATTTTGATAACTTTTTGTCGGTTTGCTATCACAGGCTTTTCGTTTTGATTTATTCTGTTAATAGCTTTAATACTTTCTGCCTCCAAGTGACACATAACTGTACGTGCCTAACGCACTAGCATTTGCCTGAGTATTGTTAAATGCACTTACCAATTAATATATTTAAATCATATAAATTCATTTAAATGCATTACTCCAGTAATGTTCCAGAACAATTAAAGAACGAAATTCAAATCTAATATTGCAAAATTTAGTAAAATTATAATTCAGTGCATTAGGAAGAGACACAGTAAGGTAAGTTCGGCAGTAAGATGCTTCTGACATCTTACTGCCGAAACCTCGATAATAATCCCCTTCGATATTAAGTTCATATATTAAGAGGGTAATTTCTGAATTCTTTTAGATTTTATCGTTAAATCCAGAATTTTATTTAGCGAAGGAAACAGAAATAATTGACTTATCCCATTATACTTCAGTATTGCGCAAAATTAGACATTAAAATATTTTTTAGGTGTGTATAATTCCGTAGTCAAACACTGCACAGTACTCGAGAACTATCTGCCTAAGGAAAGGACGTCTTCATGGAGAACTACCTAAGGATAAATTCACATTCACGTTACCTATGCGGCAAACAAAGAAAACACACTACACTAAAACATAATGCCTTTTTTTCGGGAGTTTCAAATTCCAGTCGAGTTGCCAGTGTTCATCCCTCTTCCATGTTCTTCTAATCTACTTAATCAGAAAAGGGCAGTTAGAAGATGCAATATACGTGTTCTTATTACTGCATTAGCTTCTGGAGATTTTGCTTAATGCTAAAACTATTCATTTCGAAAGGGGAAGAATTATTTGCATCTAAATCTGAAAGATAATCACTTCGAGTGTTGTTCACATTTCTTTAGAAGTGTTAGGAAATATCTATTTACATTAATGAAAGTTTCTTTATTTTATTATCTATGATTATTTAATTTTTTTAAAAATAAAACTGAGAAATTAACAATTTCGTATTGTTTTACTATTTATTTATTTTCTCAAGGTTCTTCTTCAAATGCTGTAAGCATTCTGCTGTAGCTTTACCGGAATACACATTTTTGAATTTATATGTCTGTTGAATAGCTTTTGGAAGTTAAATACTTGTAACAAAAATAAAAGCAAAAACAGTGTAAAAGAGAAAATGAGAAGGAGGAATTTAATGCTTAAATAAGTAAACGGATTGCTTATGGATAATTAATTCAGATGAATTCGAACTTCATGATTCAATGTTTTAAAGATAAACAGAGTAGAATTCGATCAGTAGCTGAGAGGCTAAAACCGCTATATATTGTTTACTCTGTTTAGATCCGACAGAATTGATTGTAATGAGTGTTTTCATGTTTTTCCTCATGTGTGATATGAGCCATTTCACATAGAAATTCATCGACGAAAGTATCTCTGCCTTTAAGCAGATAGCCGTCGTATACTTTGTCATATTTATGTAGATGACAAAGAAACAATAAGCAGAGTTCTGTATTGTTCAGCTGATAGCTTAAAGAGATTTGACGACATTAACAGCTCATTTAAATAAATTTAAATAAAAAACAACTTGCTAATTGGAGAATAAAGGACTTTCCCTTTTTCCTAGAAGTCTAAAAACAGTTCATCCTCCATATTTTCCAAGTAATGGGATCCTAACTTATCTATTTTTGGTTCTTTTTCAGATAAAAAGTATTATGACAGAACAGCACGGAAACCGGAAGTAAAAAAATCAATGAGGAACCGGAAATTCGTAACGTCAAGCCGGCTGCACAAATTGAGTTTTTGATGCACAGAATATTCCCGTTTTGCTCTCATCAATAACAGACAGGTGAGGACTAGATGGCAAAAGCTTTTCAAACTTCTTAGCATTTTTACTGTCTTCTGATACTTGACTTTATCACTATAAAATACAGAACTTTTAGAATATCTACCTGCTTCAAGAATGGTTACTCTGCATATTTTCGTATATTTCATGTAGCAACCTTAATATGATATACATCAATATATGTGTTGAATGCCAAATTATAGCAAAAATCACTTGGCATCTTCGAATTTTAGGTATGTGATACCATATTTACTGAAATTGGCTCAATAATTTGAAGATTTTTCAATTTTATTTAGAATTTATACTTATATATATATATATATATATATGTCTAAATAAGAAAATTGTTATTATAATTACAACTTCCTTGATATATTTTTACTATTAACGCATTCTGCTAATTAGAACTAGCCATGTTAGTTCAGAGATAAGTTAGTACTCACTGCAGAGATCATGAAAAAATAGAAGTCGACGAAAAAGTGAAAGGAAACAGGCAACTTTTCCGTTAACAAAGGATTATTTTCTGCATTTGTGTGTGATTCATTCATTAATATAAAACTTTTATTTCAAAGGTAAATATTGCTTTAAGAATCATATCGCGTTCAAAAAAGAGAATATCAAGTAGATATTTAATATTATTTTTCAGATAACTTAATTAAATTTTATGAAGCAGTAACAGAATTACTGAGTACATATAACAGCACAGTATCTCGGTGTTTGGTGTTTGAAGTGACTTTGGAAAAATAATAGAGGGCACTTTTAAGAAGTTGTCTTTTCCTAAGCGCATAGTCAGTGCCCTCAGTTATGGATAAAACTGAGGCAGGAGTACTTACCTTTTTTGGTCTCATTTTATTCATTGCATTGTTTGAAAATACTCAGTGTTTGCATCACCTTCCTTGCAAGAAAAATCATACCGATCCGAAAAAAATATCTGTCGTTTTGCTTCTTCCAAAAGACAACTTTTATCTAGCCTCTTACAACAAAGTAGCACCAGTTATCAACTTCACTATGAAACGTATTCAGGAAAGAGGGTTACTTCGAGGAATGGATTTCGAACTTGAGTATAGGGATACTGGATGTGATTTGGGTTACGGCGTTTGGGAATCCATCAAATCATTTGTAGAGTTGCCTCTTAATGTATATTTAGGACCTCTTTGTGATTACATTGTAGCACCAGTTGCACGTCTGTTGAAGTTCATGCACGTTCCTATGATAACAGCAGGAGCACTGGCATATGATTTTAATGCTAAAGACAGAAGAGCCAATGATTCTGAATACCATATGCTTGTGCGAACAGGATGGACATTTGATGGGATGGCAAAAACATTAAAAGGAATCTTCCAGAAGTTTAACTGGCTAAAACTTTTGCTCTTGTATGAAATGAATGGACGGCCTGAAGTAATGAAAGATCACTATTGCGCTTTGGCTATGCAAGCGTTAAACGAAGTTATTTCTGTATGGAAAAACTTTACGTTACATATGCACAAACTCACACCAGATCTAATCACGGAAGATGCAATTAAAGTTGCTAAGGATGTAATAGGAGCAGAATATGGAGGTAAGCATATTTTAAAATTAATTTTTAGCCGTATTTTACTTCTCATGATATATGATTAAAGTACTTGCTCCATAATTATAGAAGCTAGTTTATAATCACACTCATTATGCAGCTGTATAAATGAATATTCACAGAAATTTCGAAAGTAACATTGCTTAGATGGCGTTGAAATAGAATTCAGAATTTCAAAATTTTATTGGGGATAAATTTTATTATATAAGTTTATTGTATGCAAAAGATAAAAAATTAAATTAGAATAGTAATTTGGGATTTCAGTACATTGTGTTATCAGTCATGTTTCGATAAAAAGACTGAATTTAGCTATACATAATATTGGTTAATTCAAGTATACTTGTAATTAAAAAAATTACTTAACGCAGGCTTATCGGTATCTTAGTGAAATGCTAACGCTAAATCCTATTTCCAACTCAAATCCCGACATGTAAATTTCAATAAATTGTAGCAATGATCAAATACAGGATTAAATGACCAAATATAAATCCAAAATGTGGCTTACAAGAATATTAAAAGTATTAACTGTACTTAGTTAGCAATGTTGATAATAATGTTATGATGCATAATCTAATGTTTCCTTAAAATTTCGTTGTTTAGTAGCATAATTGTTTTGTTTCAGCATTTATTTTTGTGTTGTGCCATATATTATTGCCGTATTCTATGTCACGTAACAAGTGCACCCGGCTCTGTTTCATATATTGTGAAATTTACCTAAGTAAGTCTCACGCAGCGTACATAAGCATATAAATAATATATTATTTACTTAACATCATGTCTGTTTATGTTATTGTAATAGAATTTCGAGAAATAGGCTGACAAATGCATGTTAACTCTTTCGCATCGAAGTCGCCCCAAACGCCCAAACGTTCAGACATCGGCTGGACGCCCGAAACGCCTGAATAATTTCCTACCCAGTGCTTTCCCCCATCACGTTACTGCATTATCATTGCTTTCAGGTGTTGTTAAATCACTTGTCGATCATCTTTGAGCTACTAAAAGTAGCTTCCTTGTTTCCTTTGTTACTGTCAGTGTTTAGCTTTTGATGCCCGAAGTTGCACTCCCGTCCCAGGGGGAACTCACACAGTGGTCCAAGCGTCGAAAGAAGTTCTCGCTTACTTAAGTAAGGCTATGTTGGCGCTTGTAGTATTCAACTTGTCATAAGGGAAGGAAAAGCATTCCAGAGAGAAATTCTTAGATATGGGCGTTTTCGATGTTTGAGGAATTGAGATTTTGCCCTCTCTCGATGCGAAAGAGTTAATCTTGCAGAATTTGATTAAAATTTAAAATTTACAAACCTGTTCTAGAACTGCTCGAATAAGTAAATATTTCTGATATTAAAATATGAACAAAATAAAAATTAAGAATGACGATAATAATAATAATAATAATAATAATAATAATAATGTATAGAATCATTCTTCATTCTAACACATTTTCAGAGTAGCATTTCGGAACATTACGGGGAAACATGGAAACAAGTAATCTTTTGTTCTTTCTTACCCATTGATGAAATTAAAATATAAAGGTATTTTCTCCCTCCTTACCTGGTGTCTTCGTGGTTAATTAAAATAGCATGTCCGTCTGGCGATCGGGTGGTCCGGTGTTGAATCCTGGCGTGAGCATTCCACACTTTTCATGCTTCTCGCTTAAAAAAATACAGTGATTCTGCAAAGTGAGCCGTAATATTTCTCACAATAAGCGACATCTACATATATTAACCCTATTTTAAAAATGCTGTCTCCGGGATAATTTATTTAGAAATTATAGCTTATTTAGGAATAAAGATCCAGGACTATTGGGGTTTGAAGAGGTAGAAGGGCTCAGGACCTTCTTAGAATGAGTAAAAAAAATTTTTTGGTGCAAAATTAAATTTTATAATCTGCTTGTGACTTTTGCCTCCCAATTAATAAAATTAAATAAAACATTATTGATGAAATTATCTATTATCTTCCCTTTTACCATTAATATTTTTTGAAGATGCGCATATCCAGCATATTTAACGAAAATTTAATTTTGATTAGAATATCTACAACATGGACATTGTACAGGCTTTTATGACCGATGAAATTTGGTAGGATGGATTTGCTAGAATTCTTGTTTGTGTTTCACTTTTATAACAACTCTCCATTAAAACAATTTGTCGCAATTTTATATGTTCATAAAATTTACTAAATGAATATCTGGTATTCAATTTCAAGTTTGAGAGTTCTAAACTGACAAGTAATCAAATATACAAGTAATAACTGTTACTGAAAACAAGTAATCACTCTTACTGAAATCCGGACATTTTCAATGCTGGACACAGTCGCGGAAGTAATTTCAAATTTCCGAAGGTCTTATTATCCTAAATCTTTAGTTTCGAAAGTTATTGAGCATTAACACTTTGAGCTTATATAGAACATTTTTATTATTATTTAACTATGGTTTTACAGGTCCATTGGAAGTAAATTCAGTGTATATTCTGGGCGTTTTACTGAGCAAGCATTCAAAAACTAGATAAAACTAGAAATCATATTTCTTGGCTGCATCCCACAAATCTTTAAGAAGTCTGAATAAAAAAATCATGACCTGCTTTAAAGACAAATAAAATGCTAAGGATGAAATAGAAGACGTACCTTTCAAAGCAGAAGCGTTTTATGCAAAGAAAGGTATCTTTTGAGCTCATATGCTTGTCAGGAAATTTTAAACTCATATTCATTTTTAATATTCTAATTAACTATGGAAAAGGCATATGCATATAATCATAAGTTTTAAAAAATGTATAAATATGAATGTGTGTTCACTACAGTTTTTACCAAAAGAGCAAATGTTTAGTGTATATTCTTTATAAGAATTTTTTTTAAAGTTATTTATATTTTATCTTAATATGCACATTTGTTATGACGTATAATTTGCTTGTAAAAATACACAAAAATGACCCATAATAATAAAATAATTTTGAATGGAAAATACTTTAAAAAGGTGACACTTTCGTGAAGCCTAACAATTCGAAAAGTAAAATGTAAATACGTAAATATTAGACACAATTAATCAGAAAAATAATTTATATCACCATGTACCCAGAGGTTAATAAATCTATTATTATGAGCTACTTATTATAACCATTCCTAAATTTTAAAAAATCTAAAAATATGTTTTGAAGCACAGCTGTTTGTCTAGATAATGTTCATGTTAAAATAAATTGTAAAAAGAAAAAAACCGCTTTAGAAATAAAATTAAACATAGATAATAAACATCTGGTTCAAAGATCTTATAAGTAACCTCGTAGAGGCATTAGGTTATTTCGAAGCAAGAGACATGAAAAATGAGCAACGCCTTCGCCAGGATTCGAACCACGGAACTCTCGAATACGCGTCGAGGGTGCCAGGCGCTACACCACGAAGACATACTAAAAAGGCGGTAGAAATACCTTATATACATCTCCTTTTAAAGGGCGATTGGGTTTGGGGAACTCAATCGCCAAATCCTGGTGGTGAAGAATCATTATTCACCACCTTTTAGTTAGGGTGCCACTGTAGAGCCATTAGGTATTTTTTGAAAGCAAGAAAGATGAAAAATGAGCAATGCACTCGCCGGGACTCGAACCACGGACCTCTAGAATAAGCGCCCGAGCGTGCTGAACATTACACCACACGAAGGCATGCTAAGAAGGCGGCAGAAATACCTTATAACCTTTTAAATTTTCCTTCGTAAAGTTCAATCTTTTAAATACCAAAACTATTAACAATATCTATTTAGTATTTTAATATAAATCGATATGTAATATTTACTCTGTTTTACTTCTTTGAAAAGTTCACAATTACTTTTACTCACAATTAATAGCAAATCTTCAAATCACTTATTTAAACGTTTTCTAAATGCCAGTGTCCTAATTATATAAAACATGAAAATCTTCAGTGTGAAACCTGATATTTTGATATATATGATTTGGTTGATAACATTTTTAGGCAACTCTAGAATTCATCATTCAATTGTGTAACAGCATCATATTGTCCTAATTTCCAAATTTTCTGAAACAAATGTGCCTTCTTTAGTACTTTTTGCTATAACATATCATTTTAACATGCTATAAAAACACATCATTACATAAGAAAACACTGCTGGAAGGAGAAAAGTTAAAAGTTTTCAATGAAAAACTTTATGTTTACCTGTTAGTTTTATTTCTTTCAGTCTGAAAGAGATAGTAGTTTCTAAATCAATCAACAGTTTGAAATTTAAAAATATATTTATTATATGTTTCTTCATTCAGCTTAAGTATTTATTTTTCAAAACTAATACTGTAAACGCATGTTTCCAAATACAGAAATATACAGTAATAGGATGGATAGTTTGCATAATGACTAAGCTATAAGGATTATCTGCTGAAGAGGAAGAATAGCTTTATGGAGGACGTTTTAGGGAAAATTGGCTCGTATTCATGTAACACACGGGGTTTTTTTTCATGCAGTTAGCCACAGCTACTCTAGGCGAGACGCCATGAAAACTTCCAGGTAGAAAACAGGTTTGCTGGATTTTGAACTCAGTCGAGCCACCAGTGCTTATGGACACAGAAATAAAAGAATTTGCATGAAAATCTTGTTTACTGAAACGCATATCAAGCTCTGAAAAAATATCAATCAAATAACATCAAAACGGCTGTTTATTTTCAAACTATTTTAGTTAAAATATCATAGTTAAAATTTAGTAAAGAAACGAAGAAATGCCAACCGAGAAGTTGATATAACCAAGAAAGAATATTCCTTTCCTGAGTACTCGATTTTATAAATCTTCTAAAATAGGATAATAAATTATTTAAATAAAATAAGTGAGATATGTTAAATTATGCTCATTTTATTCATTACCATTGCTTTTTATGGAAATTTTGCATGCAATTTGATCCAGTTGATTCTTGACAGCCTATAAACAATAGACAACACTTTTAAGCCTTAAAACTATAATTAGGTAATGTACCTATAGCAAACACATTTTTAATATGTGTTTTTTTTTTTTTTTTTTTTGCTCATTTTAAGATGAATGTCGCATCAGTACTTCATCGCTATATATA